GCCTCCTGTTTGACTATATTTGGTACTTGTTTGGTGATGGTTCAGACAGTTCCTTGACCCTTGTGTTTCTATTTCTTTTTAACAGATTTTAGTTATATTCTTTTCTTTCTTCCAGTTGATCGTACACCTGAGGAAGTAATTAATCTTGTTCTATGATGCTGCAAAATTATTTAACTACAAAACAAATATTTATAAAACTTCAACTTATTGCATTTTGTTTTCCAATTAGCAGACTCCTTTAGTAATTAATATTTGTACAATGTGTACATTCCATGATTGCCTGTTCCCAAAACCAAATTTATTTGTTTCCCACATAAAATGCCAGTGTACGATCTCTTGAATTAACAAAGACCAATGAAGCATTAAATTTTGCTAAAGAATGTGTTAAAAAAAACTTTATGCTGGTTCTAGCATTGCTCTGCTATTAAAACCGTTGGACAACAGTACCATTAAGCATCTGAGTAGTACTGGGACAAATCTGAATTTAGCCATCATTCTTCTTCAAATGATGCATATACTAAATCAAGAACAATTTCAGAGAAGTTAAATCATTCTGTTCACAGCTGTTATAAGACACCTTTGGAGCAGGTGGGACTCGAACCCAGGCCTTCTAGCCTAGAGGTAAAGACATTATCATTGTGCCTCAAGAACGCCAAGATTACGATCCACACCAGATCAGACTTCTTAACCATTAGATTATATAACCTCCACATGTGTAACCTTTATACTATAGCATATTACAAAGACACTCAGTCTTAGGTTCTAAATATCAGGTACAGATGATTCTGATGTCAAGTAGATTACAAAATACAGTTTACCCTCATAGTTAGAAATGAACCTCTGTACCAATTCTGCTATTTAAGGATCCTCTCCTACATGCTTTGGCAAATAGAATAGCTGATTAAAGAGACAACAAGGTGTAGAGCTGGATGAACACAGCCGGCCAAGCAGCATCATAGGAGCAGAAAGGCTGACGTTTCAGGCCTAGGCCCTTCATCAGAAAAGGGTGATGAAGGGTCTAGGCCCGAAATGTCAGCCTTTCTGCTCCTATGATGCTGCTTGGCCGGCTGTGTTCATCCAGCTCTGCATCTTGTTGTCTCAGATTCTCCAGCATCTGCAGTTCCTACTATCTCAGAATAGCTGATTAGGTATTCAAGTGAGAAGGAGGAACTGAAGGAAATCAGGATTGACAACACTGTTGGGATTAAAGGCTGATAAATCCCTGGGGCCTGATCACCTACATCCCAGAGTACTTGAGGGAGTGGCCTGAGAAATAGTGGATGTATGAGTGGCCACCTTTCAAGATTCTATACACTCTGGAACAGTTCCTATGACTGGAGAGTAACTAATGTAACCCCACTTATGTAAGCAAACATGTAATGTAACCAAACTCATCCCCAAACTCTGATGCCTAGGACTCCCACCTCTGCAACTGGATCTCGATTTCCTGACCTGCAGACTGCAATCAGTAAGAATAGGCAACAATATCTCTGCCACAATAATCCTCAACACTGATGCCCCACAAGGCTGCGTACTCGGCCCCTTACTATATTCCTTATACACTCACAGCTGTGGGGCAAAATTATGCTCTAACTCCATTTACAAGTTTGTTGATGACACCACCGTAGGGGGTTGGATCTTAAAAAGATGAGACAAGTAAAGGAAAGAGATAGAGAGCTTACTGGCATGGTGTAAAGACAATCTCTCCATCTATGTCAGCAAAACAAAGGAGCTGGTCAACTTCAGGGAAGTGGAGTGGAGTACATGCCCCTGTCTGTATCAGTGGTGCTGAGGTGGAGATGGTCAGAGTCATACAGTGTGCAAATAGACCCTTCGATCCAACTAGTTCATGCCAACCACTGCTCCCAAACTAAACTAGTCCTACTTGCCTGCATTTGGTCCATATCCCTCCAAAACTTTCCTATTCATGCACTTATCCAAATGTCTTAACTACTGTAACTGCACCTGCAGCCGTCACTTCCTCTGGCAGTTCATTTGACACGCACAAACCACTCTGTGGAAAAAGGTGGCCTCATGTCCTTTGTAAAACTTTCTTCTCTCACCTTAAAAATATGCTTCCTAGTTTTGAACTCCCCCACTCTATGGAAAAGATCCTTGCTATTCACCTTATTTATGCCCCTCATGATTTTATAAACCTCCTACGTTCCAGTGAAAAAAAGTCTCGCTTGTTTTTATATCTCAAGCCCTGCACTCCCAGTAACATCCTGGTAAATCTTTTCTGAACCCTCTCCGATTTAGTAACATCCATTGTATAACAGCGCAACCAGAACTGGACACAGTATTCCAGAAGAGGCCTTGTCAACATACTGTATAATCTCAACATGACGCCACAACTCCTATACTCGGAGGTCTGAGCAATGAAGGCAAGTGTGCTAAATGCCTTCTTTACAACCCTGTCTACCTGTGACATAAATTTTAAAGAATTTTGTACCTGAACCCCTAGGTCTCTGTGTTCTTTAACACGACTCGGGACTCTACTATTAATTGTGTATCTCCCTTGTTTGTTTTCCCAAACTACATTACCTCACGTTTATGCAAATTAAACTCCATCTGCCACTCCTCAGCCCATTGACCCAAATGATCAAGGTCTCTTTGTAATCTTAGATAACCTTCTTCACTATACTACCAATTGTGGAATCATCTGCAAACTTACTAACCATGCTGCCTGTATTCTTATCCAAATTGCATGGTCAAGAGCTTCAAGTTCCTAAGAGTAAATATAACCAGCAATCTGTCCTGATCCATCCATGTCTACGCTATGGTCAAAACAACACACCAACATCTCTACTTCCTTAGGAGGCAAAGGAAATTCACCATGTTCAGAATGACTGTGAGCAATTTTTATAGATGCACCATAGGAAGAATCCTATCTGGATGCATCACAGCTTGGCATGGCAACTATTTTGCTCAAGACTGCAAGAAATTACAGGAGTTAGGAACATCATGCAAACCAGCATTCCGTCCATTGATTATCGATTCTTCCTGCTGCCCTGGAAATGCAACCAACATAAAAGAATCCGCTCACTCTGGTTACACTGTCTTCCACCCTCTCCCATCAGGCGGAAGATACAGAAGTTTGAAATACCCACCAAAAGATTCAAGAACGTCTTCCCTGCTGTTATCAGACTTTTGAACAGACCTCATATTAGAATTGATCTTTCTCTGCACCTTCTCTGTAGCTGTAACTCTGTACTCTGTTCTATTACCCTGATGTGTTTATGAGAGGTATGATTTGCCTGGATAGCAAACAAAACAACACTTTTCACTGTATCTCAGTACACATGACAATAATAAATCAAATCATTATTCAAAAAAAAGGAAGTAGACAAAAAGCAGGGAATTTTTAGACCTGTTAGCCCGATATCAGTCACGGAGAAAATGCGAATGTCCATAATAAAAGATTAAAAAGCTGAACACTCAGAAAACAGTGACATGATCAGACAGAATCAGCGTGGATATAAGAAAGAGAAATCATGCCTGACAAATCTACTATAATTTCAAGGATGTAACTAGAGTTGATAAGATGAGCCAGTGGATGTGGTTTACTTGGACTTTCAGAAGGCAGAGATTAGCACGGGATCGAAGATAGTGTATGACATGGTTAGAGAACTGATTGACAGGAAACACTAGGAATAAATGGGTTTCTGAGTGGCAGGCAATTTGGACCCAGCTATTCACAATATAGCAATCGTTTAGATGAGGAAACTAAACATAATGTATTCAAATTTGCAGATGACACAGACTGGATGAGAAGGTGAGTTCTCAGGAGGATGTGAACATGTTTGAGAGATTTGACAAGTTGAGTGAGTGGACAAATGCATGATGGATCAAGAAAAATGTTGGTAAATATGAAGTTATTTACTCTGGTAGCAAAAACAGGAAGGCAGATTTTCTGAACAGCGATATAATGGGAAAGGGGGAGGTGTCAGAGGCCTGGGTGTCCTTGCACATCAGATGCTAGAAGCAAACATATAGGCAATGAAGGTGTCTGTCCAAGTGTTGTTCTGAAGAAGGGTCTAGGCCCGAAACGTCAGCTTTCCTGCTCCTCTGATGCTGCTTGGCCTGCTGTGTTCATCCAGCTCTACACCTTGTTATCTCTGTTGTTCTCCCTCTCTGGGTTTCATCTCCACCCATCAGTTACTCCTTCCACCTCTCGAACTTCAACATATGTGCCAACCTTTTCCTGGCTTCAATCAGTTCTAAAGGGTCACTGGATCTGAGACATTAACTCTACTTTCTGTCCACAGATGCAGCCAGACCTGCTGAGTTTTCCCAACAATTTCTGTTTTTGCTTTGGATTTTCACCATCTGCAGTTCTTTGTTTTTTTTTGGTTAGGACTATATTCGCCGGAGTTTAGAACAATGAGGGCGAATCTCAGAAACTCAAAATTCTAACAGGACTTGACAGGTCATTTGGGACTGAGATGAGGAGAAATTTCTTCACCCAGAGAGTGGTGAGCCTGTGGAATTCTCTGCCGCAGAAAGCAGTTGAGGCCAGAACTCTGAAAATTTTCAAGAAGTGTTAGACCTATTTCTTAGGGCTAAAAGAGAAATGGGGTATGGGAGAAAGTGGGAACAGGGTACTGAATTGGATGCTCAGTCATGAACATGCTGAGTGGCAGAGCAGGCTCAAAGAGTTCAGTTGTTTCTACACTTGTTTCTACTTTCTGGTGTATCTATCCAATAGGTGTCAAACATGAAGTTTCCCAGTTTTTGTTCCTCATGAACTGTCACAGATTCACTCTAACCTGGATCAATTAAATGACTTGGCATTATGCCTTGCCTTCCTCAACAGACACTGAGATTGCAACTTTTTTTGTTCTTAATGTCACAATTTTTGTAAGAAAGAATTGTTTTGGTTGAAATGCATCTGCTGTTTCAACAAAGACAAAATTAGACCAAAGCAAATATTTGAACCTCCTGAAAAGCGTGTGAAAAGCATCCAGTCAAGGAAGGAATAGAAAGCAGAGTTTCAATATGTATATTCCCAACTCTGAAGAAGTCAACAGTACAATGAGCAGTTAACTGATAATATTTGCTGGGATTAATGTAGCACTGGAATGGAACCTGATGCAAGATTAAAAGCAAGTAACAGGTTACGAACAGTGCAAAAGGCAGAGCCTCCAGTTTACATTACTTGGAAGGGAGCCCTCTTTTCAAAGAGCCATTTCAGGACAGGAAGATGTCATTTAGCTGAAAGCACTGCTGGCTCCACATCAGATCTCGTTGCTCTAATTCCATTTCCACGCTTTCACGTCAGAGGCATAACTTGCCAGCCAATTCCAAAAGTAAATGACAAGAAATAACACGTCAGGTCTACAAATGACCCTTTACTTACCCTACAAAATCAACTATTTCTGGGCCCTCAAAGGAGAAAGGGTCAGTCTTGGCTGGTTCAGACTTTTGGTTAACACAGAATTTGTGAAGTAATCATTTGGTTCAAAGTGAAACTCTAAATCAGAAAGTTGCAGGTATAGAAATGTCTTTCTAATTTTCAAATCAAAACCTGCATAGCTCACAATTTTTCTGTTTAGTGCTTTCCCCCCACATCAATTTACTTGAACAATGGAATGCTAACAGCCACATTCATAACAGGAGACAGCATGGGTGACACCAGACTTGTATTTCACTAGTTTGATGTAGACTTAACACCTCAAGTTTGAGCTGACACTCGTCCAGACCTAACAGTGCAATGGGACATCAAGATGTTGCGTTTTGGCGAAGTTTCTATTGCATTGTCTCAAGGATCTGTAAATTGTACACACTTCTCCCTTTCCATGCATCCAATTCAAAGCTGTAAAAATGTATTATCTTTCATTCAGCACCTATTCCAACAGATCAAGTCTGTTTATTTGCATCATTGTCTCAAAATAATTCAATAAATATGTTAAGCTATTCCAGTCATGAGAACGATTCCAAAATTATTTTTTCACATTCATATCTAAGCATTAAAATTCAGTTAATCCACTGCACTTCTGAAGGAAAGTTATTCACCAGTGACACCTGCTGAAAATGTCTATACAAAGAGATAGCTGTTAGTGTTGGTGGAAGTGCACCACAAAAGCTCACATTTATGTAGCATGTATAATATAAGGCACTTCAGAGGAACTATGAAACTGGGTGACCAAAACCTTGGTCAAAAAGGTAGCTTTAAAAACACAGAAGTGAAATAGAAATGTGGAGGAAGGAATGGTAGGGTGATTGAAATCAGAGATGCTCAAGAGACCAGAAATAGGTCAGCACAAGCTCTGGAGGGTTGAGAAGCCGAGGGATGTTACAGAGATTGGGGAGCATGGTCATGGAAGGATTTCCAAACAAATCTACTCTAAAACCTTAGATTTCAAAACAAGGCTGAAAATGTTAAATTTAATCCTTGCTGTACCACCAATTGTCATTACTTTCAGGAGATATGAAAAATAGCTTATAATGCAGAAATGACAACTAATCAATTAGAAATGATCATAAGAGGTGTGATGGGGGGTATGGTCATGGAGCAGGCAGAGGCGTGAAGATATGGGAAAGGAACTATGGGCACACGACTTCTTTTGCAGTGTGGGTGCACAACAATGATATCAATGGGACAGACCCCCTATTTCATGTGTAGATGGAGGATACGCTACATATGACGTGCAGTGCCAGTATACAATAGAGCCAGACCCTTCAAACTATGTTTGCTGCAAGTTGAATGAACAAAAACTCTTATTTTTAGTTAAACTAAAGAGGATACAAGGGTCAATGCCAAGAGAAATCCTTTCCCTTTTACAACAGTGCTACAGAAGTTATAATGCTCAAACAGAAGAGACCTCACCTTAATGCATCAACAAGGGGCAACGCTTCAAAAAATGCATTACTTTTATCACAGCAGATTACGAATTTAAATCCCAAAAAAAAGGGGACCTAAAGGGATTATTTTTTCCCCAGAGATAAGACCAACTCAGCAGACTAGCAGCAATGTCACTGCAAAATTCAGCATGATCATCTCTTCCTCCTTTGCTGTATATGGACGCAGACTGCTTCAGTACAAGTTACGAATGGTGCCAAGTATTGCATAATCATTAACGAACATCCTCTCTTCTGACATTATGATAGAGGAAAGATTACTGAAGCAGCTGACAATGGTTGGGACTAAGTCATTGCCCCGAGGAATGTCTGCTGAGATGACTGGCCACCAACCGCCATGGGCATCTTGGTTAGTGCCAGGTATTGTTCCAATCAGAATTTTTTCTCCAATTCCAACTGACTTCAGTTCTGCCAGGGCTTTTTAATGCCGTACACTGTCAAATGCTGCCTTGATGTCATAGGTAGTCACTTTCATCTCAGCCCTGGGTTCCACTCTTTTATCAATGTTTGGACAGAGTCCATAATAAAGGTCAGGAACTGAATAGGATTTGTGGAACCCAAACTGAGTACCAGCAAGCAGGTTATTTCTGAGGAAGTGCCTCTTGATAACATCAACAACACTTTTCATCACTTAACTGCCACTCAAACGTAGTCAGATAGCCTAGCTTAAGTAACTAGCCTGGATTGTCCTGCAATTTTCCAGATTGATGTGTGGATGCCAGAGTTGCAGCTGTATTTGAACCAATTTTCTAGGGTGCAGAAAATTCTGAAACACAAGTCTTCAGTATTCTTCACAGGATTTGTCATGGTGCATAGCGTTTAAAGTATCCAGCGCCTTCAGCTGCTCCTCGATATCATGTGGAAGAAATCAAATGGGCTGGAAACTGGCACCTGTGCTGCTGAGGATATCAGGAAGAGGCCGGGATGAATTATCTACTTCACAATTCTAGCTGGAAGTTTTGTCTGTTGTACTGATGTGTTGGATTCCCCAAATGAGGACGGGAATGTTTGTCTCTTCTGGTTTAATGGTTTAATTGTCCACCATCTTCATGATTAGATGTGGCAGGACCACAGACTTTAGGTCTAACTGATCCATTGCTTACTCGAGGCACATTTTCAGACAGCAGCACATACCCAAGGAGACTTTGCCTTGGTTAACTATAACAACAAAGAAAAACATATCAATACAGCAAATACAAGTTCTACCTTCCACCAGCTCTGGGATCTATTCTTGGGATTCCAGAGTCCAGGAGTCCAAATCTGAAAACCTAGATAATAATTAATACTTTAAATAAAGGCTAATTGCTAAAAGTAATCTTAAGGAAATTTGGTATAAAATTCTTAGGTTGGTGAGAAGAATCTAAAAGTCTACTGGCCAATCTCAAGGGTGAGAAGAGCATCCTCACATAGGTTAGTTCTTGCAGTGAATAAAATAACAAAAACATGTAGGAGGCATTGCCTGAATCTTTCACAAATTGGACTATAGCATCACCTAGAGTTCAGATGTAAAATCACTTGCCTTCATACTTATTCAGACATAGTAAAAACTGCCGATGCTGGAGTCAGAGATAACACAGTGTGGAGCTGGAGGAACACAGCAGGCCAGGCAGCATCAGAGGAGCAGGAAAGTTGACGTTTCGGGTCAGGACCCTTCTTCAGAAAGGTTCTTCTGAAGAAGGGTCCCGACCCAAAATGTCAACTTTCCTGCTGCTCTGATGCTGCCCTGGCCTGCTGTGTTCCTCCAGCTCCACACTGTGTTATCTCTGCCTTCATACTTATTCTCTGCAAAGTACAAAGATGAAGAGTAAAAATAAAAAAGGAACGTAAAGAGTTGACCTGCAGAATGTATTATTGGCAGCAGATAAATGCAGAGTAAGACAAACAAACTAAACAAATGAACGGGAAGCCAAGGTGGCAAAGACTTATGGAATGAAGGAGCCAGAACAAGCCTGCTCAAAAATGGAAGCAAGGAGAGAGCAAGTGAATGAGCAAATAGAATATAAAGACACAGAATACGGTGCAAATGTCGGGGGGTGTGTGCGGCCCCCTGAACAGATGACTTGCTGAAGTGATGGAAAGTAAGAGTTCATATGCTGATCAAGTAAATAGTGGAGAGAACAGCAAGGCGGTGCAGATAAAAACAGAGCAGGAGAGCTTGAGACTAGAAAATAAATAAGAAATGGAACGAGCAACATGAAAATATGGAGAAAGTGGAGATTGAAAATGGGATAGAAGGGAAAAGCAAATGGAATGCATACAGGAAAAGCAAACGTGAGGACAACAAAGAAGGAAAATAACAGCAAGATATACAAAGGAAATGACAATGCACATCAATACTCTGCTGTGTGATATTTCCTTCTGATAGTATGATGTCTCTAAATCCCTTAATATCCAACCAACACTGCCTTGTTTGCTCAAATTAAAATGAAAAACTTTTACAAAATAACGTAAAAATGGAACTGAAGTTCGCAGTGCTGGGGTCACTTTGGTATGTAAATAATTCACACTCAGGAATCAGAGACGCAATCTTCAATATTGACAACTTAGTTACCAGAGAGGACCCATCAAAATGCAGGAATATATTAACAGGATTTGCTGAAAGGGTGCATAATTGGCAAATAAACTTTAAATATAATCATGAGAGGTGGTACAGTTTGTCAACAATAAGCAACCTGAAGCACAATTCTAATGAAGTGAATGAGTTTTTGACCAAGTTAAAATCTAACCCTGGTGTCTAAATGGAGTGAAGAACAAGGTACCTAGGGGTATAGTTATACAAAGCACTTAAAAGTAAAGACAAAGATTAATAAGATCAAAATACAGCAAACAAAATACTATGGTTCATTTTTAAAGGGATAGAGAATGGAAAAGCATAAAAGAAAGAGTCATTGGAGAAGATGGAAAAAGAATTACTAGAACAATACGGAGAGGCTAAATCCACCAGAAAATACTGAACAGTCTAGAGCTCTTTCCTCTAGTAAAGACGGAATGAAGTAGTGAACTGGTAAATATCTTTAAGATGATGAATGAGTTCGATAGGCCAGACAGAAAAATGTTGTTTCTGCTTGCAAATGAGATTAGAACCAAGGACTGTAAAAATATGATAGTCACTAATAAATCCAATGGGGAAATAAACACATCTTTACCCAGAGAGTGGCTAGAATGTGTAATTTGCTACGATAGAGTAGATGAAATGATTAGCAAAGAAGCATTTAAGGGAGAGCTAAATAAACAGGGTAAAGAATGTAAAGAAATGCTACTGAGATTCTTT